CACCTCCACTGCCGCCACTGACACCTCCACCCCCACCTCCACTCCCACCGCCACCCCCACTCCCCCCGCCGCCTCCACCTCCACCTCCACCGCCCTCGCTCGCTCCTCTAGTGCCCCTGCCCCCCTTGCCCTTGCCAGAGCGGCGTCTCCCGCTAGGGGCAGACGCCGCACCGATCGACTCAAGACCAAGGAGGTCGGCCACAGCAGTAGAGGCAACAGAGGGCAGGAGGGGGGAGGGGGAACACCCTCAAAGATGGGGGTGCGCGGGTCACCACGAGAGGCCCCTACAGCGACTATGCTCTTCACGGCCGCTAGGAGGGACTTCTCGAGGAGGTCAACAGTGAGAGTGGTGGGACAGACTGAGAGGAAGTGGTCCCTGACTACGCGAAGGGAGTTAGGGAGGCGAGTTACTAAATAGTAGAGAGTGATGTACATGGGGGGGGGGTTCTTGGCGCAGAAGTCAGCAGGAGCGCAACGCGGTAGCGAGTGTCACTAGTGCGGAGGTGCGTAATGAGGTCAGCGACTGTGGGAAAGGCAGCAAGGTCAGGGAAGAGGTACGGTAGCATGAGGCGGCTCAGTGCAGCAGTGGCAGGGGAAGAGTAGCGCGCAACTACAGCGTCGTACAAGGTCCGAGCACTCTTGTACTGACTAAAGTGCGCGCGCTCAGTGGTAGGCAGGTGGCGACGCACAGCAAGACGTGCATCAGCGTCGTGCGTGGCCCACTGGGAGCGAAAAGTAGCGTCAGCATCAGCAGCAGGGGCAGGAGAGGCGCCAGAGGTGAGGTCAAAGAGAGAGAGACCGTTTGCCCTATCGCACTGTAAGAACAGCTGCAGGTCGTCGACCCAGACGTCAAAGTCAATGCCTCGACCCTCAGCGTCAAAAGCGAGGACACTGGGGGTAGCCATGATAACAGTAGACCAGCAGTGCAAGCAGTAGGGAAAGGGCAGTGCAGTGACAGAGGTGTTGTGCTCACCGGACAGGGCTGCTTGGGCGGCTCGGCGGTAGGGCGGCTCGGCGGCTCGGCTGCTGGGCGGCTCGGCGGCTCGACTGCTGGGCGGTAGGGCGGCTCGGCGGTAGGGCGGCTCGGCGGCTTGGCGGTAGGGCGGCTCGGTGGCTCGGCTGCTGGACGGCTCGGCTGCTCGACTGCTGGGCGGCTCGGCTGCACGGCGGCTCGGCTGGTGGGCGGCTGGGCGGCTCTGTTGCAGGGCGGCTCGGCTGCTCTGCTGCTGGGCGGCTCGGTAGTGCTGCTGCAGGGTGGCGCGGCGGTCACCGGCTCGGCTGGGTGAGGCGGCTTGGGCGGCTCGGGTGGCGGGCGGCGCTGCAGCAGTTGACGGGGCCGCAAGGGAGGGCGGCGGGGCCGCAGGTGAGGGCGACGGGGCCGCAACTGAGGGTGGCGGGGCCGCAAGTGAGGGCGGCGGGGCCGCAACTGAGGGTGGCGGGGCCGTAAGTGAGGGCGACGGGGCCGCAAGTCAGGGCGGCGGGGCCGCAAGTGAGGGCGGCGGGGTCTCAGGTGAGGGCGGCGACGGGCCGCAACTGAGGGAGGCGGCGGGGCCGCAACTGAGGGCGGCGACGGGGCCGCAACTGAGGGCGGCGGGGCTGCAAGTGAGGGCGGCGGGGCCGCAGGTGAGGGCGGCGACGGGCCGCAACAGAGGGCGGCGACGGGGCCGCAACTGAGGGCGGCGACGGGGCTGCAACTGAGGGTGGCAACGGGGCCGCAACTGAGGGCGGCGGGGCCGCAAGTGAGGGCGGCGGGGCCACAAGTAAGGGCGGCGACGGGCCGCTTAGGGTGGCGACGAGCCGTGAAGGGCGGCGACGGGCCGAGTAAGGGCGGCGCCACGGAGGCCGTTAGGGGCGACGCGACGCGGCCGCTAGGGCGGCTCGACGAAGGCAGAGAGGGGAGCGCGACTCGGGGAGCGTGTTCCGGGCAGGAAAAAAATAACTTTCGATGTGGTGGGCCCTAGGCACAGTTCCCACGAGGGAACCTGCTCGATACCATGAGAAATTTAGAACGAGAATGATTGACTGAGGAATGAAAGTGATACAAGTATGCAACCCTAGCAATGTGTACCCCATACAGGCTACCCCACTACAGCCTACACAACATTATAATTTGACACTTCGTCGATTGACACGTTATCTGACCTGACAAATAACTGTGTGTGAAATCGTGCGATCATATCTCTCGACTAAGCGATGCATGCGAACGACCACTGGCCATGCCAACTTCGCATACCAGTTCCGCAGCACTACTACTAGTAATAGTAGCGTGACATTACTTTTGGGGCCGTTCCTTTCTAAGGACAACGCAGCTCAGCTGAGAATAGACCTCTCTTCCCCAGGCGCCGTATACTTCGCAAGGCGTTACAGTGGACAACGCAGCTCAGCTGAGAATAGACCTCTCTTCCCCAGGCACCGTATACTTTGCAAGGCGTTACAGTGGACAACGCAGCTCAGCTGAGAATAGACCTCTCTTCCCCAGGCGCTGTATACTTCGCAAGGCGTTACAGTGATGTCGAACCGACGTTACGCAAACAGGGAACCTATTTTCCTGGCGCCTCGACTACTTGGCTCCAATTAGGAGTTTTATGTATTTATTTATCTGTCTATTTGGGGTATGGAACACAGCCGTGTGATAGCCAGGCCCGCAATGGATAGTAGACGCCCCGACATAGTTAATTCCGCGCATTTCCTCCGCTGATCACCATGCGCAGTTGTGCGCAGTTTCCGCGCCCTGGCGCTGCTTGCGCTGCTAGTCGCCGCCGCCTGCCCCCGCGCGGCATCTGCTGGCCCCGCGCACCTCACGTCAACGACCCACGCCCCTTTCCCGCCTGCATGTCTGCGTGCCGCCACTTCCACCTTGCCCCTTTCGATTTCCCCGAAAACACTCCAGACCAAGTACTGAATTATTATAGATTGGAAACAACACATTGCCTTTCACTGCTGGCGTTACAGGATGCATAAAAAAGGCAACACTGAGGTGACATCTTAACCCCCTTGAACAACTTTGCTGATTCCTTCTCCCCACCTTTTCATCCCTTCAACACTCCCTTCAACCCAGGGCTCTTGCTAGGATTTAGGCCCGTCTGAAAGTATAAATGAAAAAATCGTTTCGTCTGACGATCAGACGGGCCAAATTTTTATTTCTGATTTTTCAGATGAAAGTTGGAGCTGTGTCTGATTTTTCAGACGATATATTTTGCTCAGTCTGATTTAACTAAAATGTCAGAATATTATGTTTCTCTAGTATGCAGTGGGGTAATCTATAATGAGTACAACCCTTTAGGGTTTTACTATATGTATCCCAATGTTTGCTAGTGAACGCCCTCTTCTCTCATTTCTCATTCTCGTTCTAGTTTTCACATGTTATCAGAGCGACTACGCTCCTGGCCTGTGGGCCCACCCAACTGCTTCCGCTGCTACTCTGTGTGCTGCACGCCCTGTGGTGTGCCCCTCACGCTACTCTTCGCGGCCCCGTCGCCGCCCTTCTCGGCCCCTCGCGGCCCCTTCGCGGCCCGTCGCCGCCCTTCCAGGCCCCTGGCGGCCCGTCGCCGCGCCTCTCGTCGGCCCCGCGCGCCGCCCTTGCGGCCCCTCACGCCTCTCGTCGGCCCCGCGTGCCGCCCCTGCGGCCCCTCGCGCCACCCGTCGGCCCCGTGCGCCTCTCGTCGGCCCCGCGCGCCACCCTTGCGGCCCCGAGCGCCTCCAGCGGCCCAGTCGGTGCCACTTGCGGCCCCGTCGCTGCCCCTTTCGGCCCTTCCTCGACCCTGCCCCGGCCTCGCCCCGGCCATGCTGCGTCGCCAGTCGCGGCGCATCGAGGGCACGTGCACCGCCCCCCCCCCCCCCCCCCCCCCCCCCCCCCCCCCCCCCCTTTTCCCGTCGCCTGTCGAGGCGACCCTCGGGGGCCGCGTGCGGCCTGGGGGAGGGGGGCGAGCGCCGCCCCTTCTGCCGCCTGTTTTGGCGCCCAGGGAGGCCGCGCGTCGGTCCCCCCCCCCCCAAGTAACCTCCCTACCCGCCATCCCGCCCTGCCCTGTGTTAGGGTTTGGGGGTGGCGAGTAGGGGGTGGCGGGTGTGTGGTCTCCCATGCTCCTCCTCCTCCTCTGTCTCCCACTGCTGCAGCTGCCGCTGAGGGGGGTGGGTGTGTGGGAGTCGACGGAGTGGTGCTAGGGGGTGGGGTGTGAGTGAACCTAGGGGTGCAGTAGGGGGTGTGTGAAATGGGGGTGGGATAGTTTGGGGAGGTTGAAGGGGGTGGCCGCCGTGAAGCCAGCAGCTCCAGTCGCCCGTGAGACCGTTGCGTCAGTCGCCCGTGAGCCCGTTGCGCCAGTCGCCCGTGAGCCCGTTGCTCCAGTCGCCCGTGAGTCCGTTGCTCGTCTGCCGCTACTTTTAGCCGTGGAGCCATGTACTCCAGTAGCCTATGTGCCAGTTGCTCCAGTTGCCAGTGTGCCAGTTGCTCCAGTTGCCCGTGTGCCAGTTGCTCCAGTTGCGCCGTGTGCCAGCAGCTTCAGTTGCCGCCCACTACCTCCTCTCCTCTCATAGTCCCTCCTCCTCCACACTTGCCCTCTGCGATAGCCTCTAGCTTTGCTTACATTTGTGAACTTTAAACTGTTGCTTCTTGTACTTGTGCTCAGAATGTGTGGTGACATTGTGATCCACCCTGGACTTGTTCTGCTTTGCTTGCTATGCTGATTACACCCCACTTTGACTATGGGGGTGTGTCAGAATATTATGTTTCTCTAGTCTGCAGTGGGGTACTCTATAGTGAGTACAACCCTTTAGGGTTTTACTATATGTATCCCAATGTTTGCTAGTGAACGCCCTCTTCTCTCATTTCTCATTCTCGTTCTAGTTTTCACATAAAACACTTGTCGAGCGTGATTCAACTATATTTTTTTCCGAAGCTTATGACGGAGGCGGTGGTGCGGCACTGACAGTGTGCTTGCTGACAGGCGAGTGACGAGTTGGGAGGGAGGCGACGGGAGGGATGTGTTGGGATGGGACAGAGGGACTTATGCCGAAGGGGACTGGGCTGGGAGATATGGGGGATGGATATGGGGAAGGGGGCTGGGCGGGGAGAAAGGGCCACGGGATATCACAGGGAGAAGGGTAGGAGTAGGGCTTGAACAAGAATGAAGGGCTTGAGGGGGTGGTTGGGCTGGAGTAGAGTGAGGGATTCGGGAAGGAGAGTGGTGGGGAGAATGGTTGGGGGGGGGGGGGGGGGGGGGGGGGGGGGGGGGGAAGAATGGGGGGTGGTGTCAGATAAAAAAAAACCCGCTATCCGAAATTTCAGATGAAGTATATCTCCTGCTCTGAAAAATCAGACGAGCTAAAATAACTAGTCTTATGGATCAGACGAAATTAAAAACATTGTCTTAGAAATTAGAGGAAAGCAAAAATGTAGGTCTGAAAATCAAACCATTAGACCGATTTGGTCTGATAACCAGAGCCCTGCTTCAACTGCCGCACCAGCTTCTTTCCCAAACCTATCCATACCTTCTCCCATCCCCTTGGCCACTCTCCCTCCCCAAATCTCCACTCCTTCAAACGCCTCACTGGCATCTTTCCCAAATTTATTAATCCCTTTCCCCATCCCCTCCGTCACTCTCCCTCCCCACTCCCCTACTCCTTCCATACCCGCTTTAACCTCTTCCGCCTTACCTCCCCCCCATCGATTCATCTCTTCCCCCATCCCTTTAACCGCCTCTGCATTCTTCTCACCCCACTTACTCATCCCTTCCATATGCTCCTGTACCACATGCCCAGAACTCTCCCCCCACGCCTTAACAGCCTTACCCACATCCTCACCCCATGCCTTGAGCGCCTCATCCGCCCCATCCCACCACCTCTTCATCTCCTCTACACTGCCTGCCAAAGCTTTATCCGCCTCCTCCCCCCACCGGCCCATACCCTCCAGCACTCCTTTGAACGCCTCCGCCACGGACTCACAGGACTGACCCAGGAGTTGAAGGAGGTGGTGAGCGATTTGGAGGAGCAGCGGGATGAGCTGCACGAGGAACTGAACCACGAAGTGCGACTCAGGAGGGGTGAAGTTAAGCAGCAGAAACATACAGAGCTCGGACATTTTGAAAGGACAATCCGCTCCGGCTGATCCGAGGTAGGTAGGAGGCAGTGACTTGGATTCGTCGCTGCTCTTCATTCTGTGCTTCAAATCCTGAACCTGCGCTTCCAACCTCTTCATCTCGTCATAATTCCTCTCTCTGATTCCCGCTGAATCTTTGGCTTCGCTTCTCTTGTCACCGCGCATACACTGTAACGAGCCAAACTCCTCTCGCTTCTCGTTGTTTGCCTTGGAGCTTCCCATCACTGACTCTCTCTCTGTCGCAGATGCGGCGTGGCCTGAGACGGTCGTGTCACGTGATGGCTCAAGGCACGCCAACGCGAAGCTCAGGTTGCCTGAAGAGTCTGATTAGCGGAAAAGGCCCGCTCAGCTGGACTCCCTGAATAGGTATCAATAGATGGAATAGCGACGAAATGAATCAATAACAAACAGTCCGTGGTGCTCATTCATAACAGCAAGATTTCTTGAGTCGACTTAAAACGAGGTGACTTTTGAGTCGACTCAAAGTCGGGACGAGATGAATCGATAACAGCTGGTCCATGCTAATTGATAACAGGGAATGATGAGACGAACGGACTGAGCTGCGGAAGGCTGGCTGGCTGGAGTTGTGAGCCGAAGCGGGAATTCGATAAAAGCAGACAGACATGGCGGCACGCACGCATTGGGCGAAAATCTGGTGGCACGGAATAGCGAACGCTGAATGAAGGATAAACATGGCTTGGAAGCAAGCGCGGCGAACTAGTCAGACGCATTATGAATAGCACTTTGCCGGTTCTATCACACGAGATAGCGCCACGTGGAAGAGCACAAACGGGGACGTAAGTAAGGCAAGATGATGTAATCGAAAGACATGTAAGTCGCAAAATTGGAGCTCTACGGGCGTGAAGAAAGTCTGAATCTAGGCGACAGGAGATATTCACAGGTTTCAATCTGCTATTGTTACGGGTGCAATGAATCGAGGTAGCGAGGATTGCACTAGAGTGTTCAATGAGTACAAAATATGAGCGAAGGCATGCGCGAATACTAGCTAGTGCTACGCTGGCGCGAGGTTCGGGCTAGTCCCGAAAAGTAGGCCGACTCGGCTGCTCCAGCAGTGCGAGGTTTGGTGAAACAGTGCGCGCGAAGTTGGCAAAGCCCCGTTAGCAGTAACGGCCGAACAACGGCTGCTGCTGTATGCGATGTGGACGTTCGCTGTAAGGAATAGCGAGAAAATTCCTTACACTACCCCCCCCCCCCCCCCCCCCCCCCCCCCCCCCCCCCTCAAGAAGCCCCCTCCGCTACGCGAGTGCGTGTATATATCGCGGAAACCCCGGTTCCTCAGGTACACTTGCAGGGCAGGGTGGTTTTCGATGTTGGCCAGGGGCACCCAGCTATCCTCAATTGGTGTGCGGTCCTTCCAGCGAACAAGGAACTCGATCCTCTTGATGCCTGTGGGGTGGCGAATCCGATGTAGTGATTGTCAAAGCTTCCGGCTTTCTTTGGACTTGATTGTGACGGTTGTGTCCGTGTGTGCAGTTGAGCGCTGGTGAGTCCTGTGTGAGAATAATGAGAGGAATGAATGAACTAGAAAGTTGATGGGTACAAGTAGAAAACACGTAAGTGTTGTACCCTCTAAGAACTACCCCACTACAGCCTAAACAGCCTATAGCATATATAAGTTTGACACACCCCCATAGGCAAAGTGGGGGAGAACAAGAGGTCACAAGACCAGTCAAGAAAGGCAAAGCAATCTCAGGGTGGATCACAAAGTCACCACGCAGTCTGAGCACAAGTAAATGGCCACAAGGCCAGTTCACATGCAGAGTTATATAAGGAAGAGCAAACAATACAGTGAACACAACCTAGCAAGTGTAAGCATGCAGGTATATATATATAGAGTACAGTACTAGTAGAGTCAAGAAGTAAGCAAGTGAGGCACAGTAGGTACAAAAATGCTAATGATCACAAGGCTGAAGTGCCTTGGTGAAAACATCAGCAGTGTTGGCCTGTGAGGCCACGTAAGCAAGACGAAGCTGGCCACGCTGCTGCAACTCTCGAGCAAGGAAGTAGCGCAAAGCAATGTGCTCCGTTCTGTGCTCCAGTCTGTGCTCCTAACACAAGGCCAGCATGGCCTTGTTGTCGACGTACAGAACTGGAGGAGAACGAGGCGGCTCTCCCAAGTCGGTCAGCAGGTAGGAGAGCCAGCGTAGCTCCTGTGCAGCCATGGCCCCAGCGTAGATCTCAGCCTCACAACTGGAGCTAAGAACAGAAGAAGAGCGGGTAGACCGCCAAGAGACAGAGCCGGAGCCAAGACTGAAGGTGTAACCTTGTGACGACCGCTGCGTAGCCAAGTCGTCAACCCAGGAGGCGTCAGCGTGACCAGTGAGGACAACTCAAGCCCGTCCTCCAAGCACGAGCCCCATGCCCGATGTACTGCACAAGTATCGCAACACCCTCTTCGCAGCATCTCAGTGCACCTTTCGGTGCCTGCCGGGAGCCACGTAGCGAGCCAGAAGGCTGAGAGGGTATGCGAGGTCAGGTCGTGTGCAAGTCATCAGGTACATGAGGCAGCCCACAAGCTCTGGATACGGGCCACTCGGCTCTACGGACTCGTCCGAAGGTGGAGCTGAGAGCGAGTGACCGTAGGCAGAGGAGTCGACTGTGGCGAGGAGTACGTGAAGCCGAAGCGCTGAAGGACCTGCTGCACCACGTGTGACTGAGTCAAGGTAATGGTGCGCCGTGCTCTGTCCCGGGTGATCCGCAAGCCAAGATAGCTTGTCAGTTCACCCAGGTCTGTGCACGTGTGTCTCTTCTGCAGCTCGGACTTCAAGTGGGCGAGTGCCTCAGTGTCAGCAGTAGCAAAGACGAGGTCGTGTACGTACACGAGAACGTAGATCGGTGGCAGAGTGGTGTCAGTGCGTAAAAACAGAGAAGGGTCAGAAGTGGAAGGAGCAAAACCAAGTGCAGCAAGAGTCGTCCTCAGTGTGTCGTGCCACTCACGGGGTGCCTGGCGGAGACCGTAGACTGGCCGCCGGAGGCTCCACTGGGTACCAGCAGGAAACGACCCAGTGAAGCCAAGTGGGCGGCGCAGCCAGATCTCCTCGTGTAGGCTGCCCTGTAGGAAGGCTGTGCTGAAGTCAAGTGAGTGGAGCTCGTAGTCACGCTGAGCGGCGACGTGCAGCAGTACCCGAAGAGTGGTCGTCTTTGGGGTAGGGGAAAAGGTCTGGAAGAAGTCAACTCCCTGTCGTTGACTGAAGCCACGTGCAATGTAACGTGCCTTGAAGGCAGGCGGAGAACCTGGCGGCCGCTTCACCCTGAAGATCCACATGCCACTGACGATGTTCGCCCCACGCGGGGGAACCTCGTCGACGTAGGTGCCTGTGGACTTCTAGGAAGCCATCTCGGCGTCCATGGCTGCCTACCACTGAGAGGAGTAGGGACCCTCTCTCGCCTCTGCGTAAAAGCGCGGGGTCGGGATGTCTGGTGCATCCGGGTCTCCCACAGGGGCAAGCAGCATGGACACGAGATGAGGTACAGTAGTGGCAAAGCACTCAAACTCCTCCTGTTTGTCCTCAAGAACGTCCGTGCTAAGAGCACACTCACCCCCAATGGTCGGAGGACAGACAGATGCAGACGCAGACTCAGCAACAAGACTAGTGGCGTAGTCTAGGTGACAGGCTGCAGCAAAGTCAACAAGCTCAGTAACAAGAGCAGACGCAGCAGTGGACTCAAACAAAGGGTCAGTGACAGCAGTGGCCAGAAAGCGCGTGACAGCTGGACTAGCAGCACGTAGGGAGTTCGACGCAGGGTCCGGACACGGTAGAAACGTAGAAGAGTGCGCAAGGACTGGGCCCCCAGAGGGGTCAGCCAGGAAGATTGCGATAGGCCGACTGAGCGGCGTGAGTGTGGTGCTGTCTCTAAAGAAAGAGTGCCAAGCACCAGAGTCAAGTGTGAAAGTGTGCAAGGCCTCAGTGGGTGCAGTACCAGAGAGAGCAGACTCACCAGCACCTGGAGCAGCAGACTCACCAGTACCTGGAGCAGCAGACGCACTAGCACCTAGAGCAGCAGCCGCAATGCCCGGGTCGGGTGGGACACTCAGGTAACAGTCACCCTCAGCACTATCAGTCAAAGCATACATGGCAGCAAGGATAGCATCGAATTCAAGATCAAAGATAGGCACATTCTGCATAAGCAGATCATGCCTGCGAGGGAGCTCAACAGCGTCAAGAAACTGGGCACGCCAGGCGTCAGTCAAGCAACCGAAGCAGCGCTGCGTAGTGTGTGGCAGCCCACACGTCTCCCCATGACGACTGCCGGTGCGAAGAACGTAAGTGCAGGGACCCGCACCCCCAGACCTCCCATGCCCAGCGTACCACTCACGAAGCTGCTGGGCAGATGGGGTCTCACGGGAACGCGGCTGTTGCTGGCGCTGGCTACCACCAAAGCCTCCACGCTGCGCGGCTGCACCTCGACCAGCACCACCGCCGCCACCACCGCCACCACCGCTGCTGCTGCCTCCACCACCGCTGCCGCTGCCTCCACCACCTCCGCCGCTGCCTCCACCACCTCCACCGCCGCCCTTGAAGCCCCCACTCCCGGCACCACCCCAACCTCCACCGCCACCCCCTCCGCCTCCTCCACCGCCTCCGCCGCCGCCCCCTCCGTCCCCTCCACCACCCTTGCTCCCCTTGCCCTTGCTGTTGCGGCACCTCCCACTAGGGGCAGACGCAGCTCCGACCTCCTCAGTGCCAACAAGGTCGACAACAGCAGCAGAAGCAACAGAGGGGAGAAGGGGGACAGGGGAACACCCCTCAAAGAAAGGGGTGCGACGATCGCTGTGAGAAGCACCTACAGCTAAGATACTCTTCTCACCTACAGTGAGGCGCTCCTCTAGCAGGTCGACAGTGAGCTCGGTGGGGCAAAGGGAGAGAAAGTGGTCCCTAACTGAAGAAAGGGAGTCAAGGAGGCGGGTGACTAGGTAGTAAAGGGTGATGTACATGGGGGGGGGGGTTCTTGGCACAGAA